AGGATGGAAGGATCCTGTTCATATGGACCTGTCGTCAGACAGAACACTAAATAATAATAATAATTCTTGATGCATGTTAAGGTATTCTGAATTTTTCTTACTGTGACTTTATGGTATTCCTTTTAATTGTATTTCTAAAAGACGTTGCTCTACGCTATGTTTGAATAAATTTGTAACTGTAAGTCTCACTCAGTAACTACGTTTTATGGTTCTTAGTGCAAAACAGGGATTATTTCCTTGAACAGGAGAAAGTTGTTGATCTCTGTAATGATGAAGCGATGTGTTTTCTTCGCGGTACGGACCGAATTAAGAAGTAATGTTAAGTTAGCTTCTGCTTCAAGTTATTCTAAGTGATGTCTTCCTTCGATGTGAATTAAATCATGAGTCTGGTAATTGTTTAGTGTTTTCCATGTTTGCTACAACGCAAACTTTCTTGAGGCGTAATGGAGGTCACATTCACTTAATGTCCAGAATATTTTCCTCAGGACTGTGTTCTCAAACGCTGTTGATTTACACGAACGTTCGTTTAAATGTTTTAATCTTTTGGTTGGTAGGCATGCAAGGAATATTCTGTGCAAATAACATTGGCCCATTTATAATTAGTTCTGTCATTTTAACATTTTTTTGTAACTATGAAAGTTGGCTCAAAACGAAGTTCATTCCAAACCTTCCACAAAATTCGGTGTTAGTAGTGGACAATGCAGCTTACCATAATCTACAATTCAATCCAGCTCCAACTTCTTCATCTCGAAAAAATGCTATGATAGATTGGCTTTCAGATCGTGGCATTCCTTTCAGTGACCGAATGTGTAAGCCCGAATTATATTCTCTAATTAAACTGCGTAAGCCACGATTTAAAACATTTAAAATTGATGCTCTGCTGGCTGAACATGGCCACTCTGTCCTTCGCTTGGCGCCATATCACACAGATGTTAACCGGATTGAACTGATATGAGGATCGGTTAAAGAATATGTCGCTGGAAAGAATGCCAGTTTCCGTCTAGATCTGTGGTATTCAACCTTTTTTTGTTCGCTTACCCCCAGATATAATTTCTCTTCAACTTTGTACCCCCAAAGTTGTTGGTGTATAATTAAAGTTATACATAGTATATAATCTACATCTGAAATAAATTAAATAAATTACATTACTGATTATTCAGTGTTTATCATAAAATAATATATA